TCACTTTTTCCTAAGAGAGTTGTGTGTGTGTGTGTGTGTGTGTGTGTGTGTGTGTGTGTGTGTGTGTGTGTGTGTGTGTGTGTGTGTGTGTGTGTGTGAGAGTGTGTGTGTGTGTGTGTGTGTGTGTGAGTGAGTGAGTGAGTGTGTGTGTGTGTGTGTGTGTGTGTGTGTGTGTGTGTGTGTGTGTGTGTGTGTGTGTGTGTGTGTGTGTGTGTGTGTGTGTGTGTGTGTGTGTGTGTTGTTGGAGTAAAGAGAAGCACATCAGCACAAAACATTAATTTAATGTTAGTAAGAGTATAAAGCCACTTGCAACACAATTAGGTTATAAAAGTGATTAATATTAGAGGTTTTCCTAAAGAGTAACAAACACAGAAAAAAGGAGGAAAGACTAGGAAGTTCCCCCCGGGGCAGTGCCACTGACTGTTGTGTCTTTAGGCCATTCCCAGAGGGAGGACATTTCTTGTTCAAGCACAGTAGTATTGTAAATGGGCTGATTCATCATGTCACGCTCATAACTGTGCCTGGTCTGCAACAAGGAACTGCTGTTTTTTCTTTCCTAATCCTTACCATTGTCATTTTTCTCTACTTTTTTTGTATGTTTGTCACTCTCTTGTGAACTGCTATTTCCGGGGTGCCTTAATAGTCGAAGCAGACCTAGTGCTGTTGAAGCTAGAGAGGTGAGCAGAGTAAGTCTGATTCCCTGTGAGGACTTCTCTGTTGACACTCACCCCTTGGCGCTCATATGACCTTATGCAGTTGCGAGCGCCGTAAAACCTCTACTAAAAAAAAAAAAATTTAAAGAAAAGGAAGATAGATGTTTGATAGGGAAAAAGGGGTAAACCGGAGCGGAGCACCAACCAACCACCCATGTATGCACATTTAGCGCTAGATTAATGTACAAAAGATGAACAGATTGAACCAACAGAGAGACAGAAAAATGGAATGACTTAACAAAGTCACTCAATAAAAAAGCATGAGTACTGTTTGTTTTGGGGTTTTTTAGTAATAGTTTTACGGCACTAGCAACACAATAAGGTCATACAAGTGTCAAAGATTAGAGAGGTTACAAGAGCGTAACAAACATAAAAGAGAAGGAGGAGAGATAAAAACGACAGTTGTTTGATAGCAAAGAAGGAGCAAACCCCACCAGAGCACCCGCCAACCACCCACGTGAGTACTGTGCAGGGAGGACAGTGATGGAGATAAGATAAGACACACACAGTACCCAAAGGGTGGGGGTGGGGTTGTGTTTAGGAATGGGGAGATAAGATAAGACACACACAGTACCCAAAGGGTGGGGGTGGGGTTGTGTTTAGGAATGGGGAGATAAGATAAGACACACACACAGTACCCAAAGGGTGGGGGTTGGGTTGTGTTTAGGAATGGGGAGATAAGATAAGACACACACAGTACCCAAAGGGTGGGGGTTGGGTTGTGTTTAGGAATGGGGAGATAAGATAAGACACACACAGTACCCAAAGGGTGGGGGTTGGGTCGTGTTTAGGAATGGGGAGATAGGAGGAAGGAAGTTTTAGTTTCAGTAAGAGTTTTACGGCACTTGCAACACAATAAGGTCACATAAGTGCCGAAGAATAGATGTGCTACAAAAGAGTAACATTATACATACACAAAAAACGAGCGATAATGATGATAGATGTTTGATAGGAAAGAAGAAGCAAACCACACCTGAGCACCCGCCAACCACCGACTGGGGTGGGGGGGGGGGGTTGTGTGTTTAGTAATGGGGAGATGAGAAGGAAGTCTGAAAACCCCATTTTTTTCTAGGTGTCAGAAATAGATAAGATAATCTCATTCATTAAGCTGAACAATCGATTCCCATAATGTCATGTTTAACATAGGAAGAGCTGAAAAGAGTGCTTAGACACCTACAGAGTGACAAACATTTTGCAATCTCTGCATAAAAATCCCTAGTTTATGGCACAATACTCCTTCCAATTAACAAAGCCAACTTCCCACAAAGAAAAGTTAACAAAGAGAGAAAAATCATAAAGTTTATGAAGAAGACAGAAAGACTATTTTGAGAGCCACATTGAGCAAGAATAATTTATTTCAGAGCTTATAAGGTATTTCCCAATGCATATTTAATTTAGTTTAGTTTTAGTAAGTGTTTCACGGCACTTGCAACACAATAAGGTCATAGAAGCGCCAAAGATTAGA